AGCTTTTGCGTGATTAATATTGATGGAATTAAAATTGTGATAAAAACACATAAAGTTTTTAAAATAATTTCTTTAAATAACAATTTTTCTTATTCTTACCAAAACAAAATGTTCAATTGTAGATGTAGGATTTTCTTCAAATATTGTAGGGAATGCATCCTTCTTAAGTTGATGGCTTGAACTTGAGGACCGATAATCAGATTCTACAAAATGCTTACTGCATATACAGATCGATGTATAGTTTTGATATTCTTTCATTAAATATTTTGGAATATAATCTAACCAGATCTGAAAGCTTGCACTGGTTGCGGGTGGAAATCTAAAAATTTAATTTTTTATTAGGCAAAATATGATTTAGGCTCAGTTTCACAAATTAACTGCTGACTGGAGGTTAACTAACTGTCTATCTCAGTGAACTCATTATAGAGTTCACTGGTCTATCTTTATCTTATATTATTATATCTAAAACAGAGAACCGGTTAACCTCCAATTAGCAGTTTGTGAAACTGAACTTAAATATACTAATTAATTCATTTGTATACATATACCGATGAAAAGTTAAAGCAGTTGTTTGAGTCTATACAGATTTACAATTTTTTATTACACAATAATGAACCATTTTTGTCTTTCTATAATTTTGCTCTTTAGTTTAGTCGTGTAGCCGGCAGTGAATTCTGTAGCCTGCACCGTTTACACCGGTCACCGCCTGCACGTGCATGACGTCACAGAGTCGATGTTTTTGGTAAGGTTTTACATCGATAGAAAGAGACAAGGATTCACCCAAACGCACCTCTCTCTCGGCAACAGCCAGAACTATAGATCACTCATTCCAGTATGATATAGAGTTCACTGGCCCATACTCATGGTTATACTGTGGCCATAGACATATAAAAGATAGACTGCTTATGAGGCAGTGGAACCCTAGGTGGGGGCATCCTCCTGAGGGAAAAGGACAACATGAATTTATTTGGCTATCTGTCTTCCTCTAGTGGACGTGATCTGAAGGCGATCACGTGATCACGTACACTAGAAGAAGATAGATACCCAAATAAATTGGTGTTGTCCTTTTCTCTCAGGAGGACATCCCCCACTACCTCATAAGCAGTATCTATCTTTTATATGTTTATGACTGTGGCCGAGCCACAGTATAACCAGTATGCC